GGAATCCGATTGGCCTCGGCCAAGCCTCGGCTGAGCTGCAGCTTCACATGCCTTGGATGCGTTTAGGTGGTGGGCGGAAAACGAGTCACACCAAGGCAGTAAACGAGCATTCACTCACATCGATGACACATACCTAGTACCTACCACCTACCTATTGTTTCTTCAACAGTGCACTTCTCCGGAACGAAAGCAAAATAGCAAAACGCCAACATCGCCGATTAGGGCGATTTTCAAACGTTAAATAATGATTTAAATATGCCTAACCAAGCAAGTAAACCGCACATTAATACCTAAATATAAAAATGAAGCTTTAAGTACCTACTCTTCTGTTTATACAGAAATGTAACAAAATTGGCTGCTGAGAAAGCACCCTTTACTTCACGATTAATTTTTGCTACAACGATCGGGTTTTGTAGGTCAAGATTGAGATGAGTTAGCTTCCTACCGACTTGTGATAAAGTAATACGTGATTTGAATGCGATTTTAAATGCTAAAAATTAAGCGAATGGAGAGGTGCACTATTGAACTTTTAAATCATGTCCTAAAATCACGGCGGATCCAAAATGGCATCATGCAATCCTACCTTTGCCAAGCGCTGTCAAATGTTCTAACAAACGAAATTCTAACCAGGAATGTAGGAATTTAGCACATAGACTAATAAAATGTAACGTATCGGGCATCGGCATTAATTATTCAGCGATGAATGATCTGTTTTCTCAGTCACCTTAACCAATCATTGTACATTGAATGGTCATTTAATAGGTTATTCGCGTTGGTACAGCTTATGAACCTCTAAATTTCAATATTTAATTTTACATTACCATCAATTATGACCCTTTTGACGGGACCACCCAAACTGTTGCTATTTATCTATTGCCCTAATATCAATATGGATCCGCCGTGATATGCACATTGCACATATACAATGAAAGACATCGAAATCACCGCCCACGGCTTTGGCCGTGACGGACTGACCGCTTCAGGCTCCTTCGAGTCCGGACTCCAGTCGTGGTCGCTGCCGTCCTCAGCCGAGGGGTCTTCATCTTCGGTCGTCGGCGACACCAGAGCACCGGTCACTGAACGACGACGCACCGCACCTCACTCGACCTATTCAGTCACTCCGAAATAACTTCAACACAGCGCACTGACACCAAGCGCCGCCCCAATCACGAAATTACCGCAAAGTTGGCAATCATTTCTTGACGCTCAGCTACCGCGACCCTCCCCTCGGGCCTCTAGCAGACGACAGGGGCGATTTTCCCGCCCGCTGGCGCTAGTTGGACCCCCCGCCACGAGAGGCGCTGCATTCGCGAGCAAATTTGGAGCTGAAATTGCATCCCAAGATGCATCCTAGGACGACGATTGTCACACCCATTACACGAAATGTTCTTCTGCTTCGGTTGGAAAAAGGCATAGCCTTCCGGCGCTTCATCTCATGGTTGATATTATTGCGCAAAATTTGAAATCGAGCAACGGTTTTATCTTCCGTCACCAAGCAGAACTTCGCGCGCGCACTTGGGGGAAGGGGAGGGAAGGGGGTGGGTGGCGCACTTGGGGAAGGGGAGGGGAGGAGGTGGGGGCTAGGTAACGTCTGGGTGGCGTGATCTCTCCCCCTCCCCCTCCTCGGCCCCACCGCGGGGGACTCGCTCGGCGCAAAGGGGCTATGGAGACGCATAATGCATTGTTTACATTTACCTATGGATGTGTTTTGGTATAACCATGTATAACTAAGTGGGTGATCCCCGTGACATTTATGTCACTGTAAGACTTGGACGTTGAAAGTCATTATTTCTTTTGCCACACACACGTAGTCAAAAGCACATTTATTGGAAATGAAGATACCTATCAAACATGAAACAGGGAACTACCTTTTCCCAATCTTTGAATGTTAGTAACTTTGACTAATAATTATTCTCTCTCTCTCTCTCTCTCTCTCTCTCTCTCTCTCTCTCTCCTCTCTCTCTCTCTCTCTCTCTCTCTCTCTCTCTCTCTCTCTCTCTCTCTCTCTCTCTCTCTCTCCTCTCTCTCTCTCTCTCTCTCTCTCTCTCTCTCTCTCTCTCTCTCTCTCTCTCTCTCTCTCTCTCTCTCTCTCTCTCTCTCTCTCTCTCTCTCTCCTCTCTCTCTCTCTCTCTCTCTCTCTCTCTCTCTCTCTCTCTCTCTCTCTCTCTCTCTCTCTCTCTCTCTCTCTCTCTCTCTCTCTCTCTCTCTCTCTCTCTCTCTCCTCTCTCTCTCTCTCTCTCTCTCTCTCTCTCTCTCTCTCTCTCTCTCTCTCTCTCTCTCTCTCTCTCTCTCTCTCTCTCTCTCTCTCTCTCTCTCTCTCTCTCTCCCTCCCTCCCTCTCTCTCTCTCTCTCTCTCTCTCTCTCTCTCTCTCTCTCTCTCTCTCTCTCTCTCTCTCTCTCTCTCTCTCTCTCTCTCTCTCTCTCTCTCTCTCTCTCTCTCTCTCTCTCTCTCTCTCTCTCTCTCTCTCTCTCTCTCCATAGGTATACTTACTTATACCTATATTGAGCTTAAAATAAGCTTTGAAATGTGATTATAGACGTGAAAAGCTTGTACCTATGTCAAAACAATGCTTGTGCAGTCAGTAACATAAACTCGATCGGTAAAAATCCAAAAATCTAAAACGAATACCCATAACTTAATTTGTGTAAATATAGATAATGAATACCTCTTCCCCCCCCCAGATCGAATGCTAGTGCGAATGACGATAGGTTGTGATGCATTTAGGTCGCCATTTCTTATGTGTAATGTTCGTAGTGGGTATGAGGCCATGCCAGTCTTTTTTAACGGCAATGAAAGGATATGCGTGCGAAATTGGTTCAAGACATCAGACGGCCTACACTACGTCTCAGCCCGTTCCGAATAACAAAGGCAGTCGAGCTCAGCTAACGTTAGACGGTCATCCAGCATCCTGCGGGAAGCTAAATCGTGTGTTTATAGAGGTTTAAGTGTTGTGTTTACCAACACCGTTTAACGGTGGGTGTCCACAGTCCAGCCCAGAGCAGGGAAATGGTGATAAGAGATTGAGCTAGCCCTGAGGATGGGAAGGGAAATGTGTCCTTAGTCATAGATTTATAGTCCGGATCAGGGTATATTGAATTAGGGTCCGGATTCAGTTCCGTCGGACGGGACTCGGAACATCTCGTATAGGCTTGAAACTTGAACGCAAAACAGTCTTCGGGCTATTCGGTGCTTCTTTCTCTCCCAACCGTTTAAGTAGAAGTTAACCCGGCAGTTGCTGGGGTATTTCGCCACCCACCGTTTGCTGGGGGCCCCCCCCCCCCCCCGTTAAACGCCCCCAGCCGATAACTCGAGAGCCAATAGGCGCAGCGAAACGCACGAGGCGGCAAACGAAAGAACGCGACGAGACGCTTCAGATGAGTACTTAAAAGTTGAATTTTGAGGTCACAGGTCAGGTCAAGGTCAGGTCAAACACCTGAAATCGGGCTTTCAGTAGCATGGACTTCAGGACTTCGCCAAGGGCGCCTCTCGTCATAAACTCTGTCAAAACGGTGCACAATCCATCATATAAGGCCTACAAGAGTGTCAGCTCCATGTAGGGGTCAGTCAAGCATAGGTCAGGGTCAAGGTCAGGTCAACCGGGCAGGCACATATTCCCGAAAATCAAAACTGATATTCGCAGCCTGTGACACATGTTTTATGGGTAATTTGGGGCGTTGAACACGATGGTGACATTCATTTTACCATATGTGTACGTGTTTGGCTAAAAAAGTTCAATTTAAGAAATGCATGCATCATGGTCGTGAAGTAGTCACGAGAAATTGTCAAGATTCACTTCAAGATTTTCGAAAATGCGGAACGATAATCAACAATCGAAGATAGCCATTTCATTGTTCATGGTATTGGCAGTCTAATGGCGTTTACGGCATGTCTGTATGTCTATTCTGTGATTTTATATGATTTTTTGAACATATGCCGTTTTTGGTCGAAAACTCAGAAATCATGACGTCACTAAAACCTCGATATCTCAAAAATTTTCCGACCGATTTTTTTGAAACTTTGTCACAATAAGCTTCAATCAATTCCCTACAGAAACCCAAAATTTAGCGCGCCTGCGGCGCACCGTTTTTATGCTATGGCCCGGCGAAAAAAGTGGGGGCGTTTAACGCCCCCCCCCCCCCAGCAACTCGCGGGTTAACAAATGTCGCGTAGGTACCCCAAATTTGCACAACATGTTCTTGTCCACACCCAAAAGTATCGAAAGTTGTTATTTTTGTCGTGTGAGCGTGCTATGCCACCGGTTGAGACAAATGATAGCTCAAACGAAAGAGAATGAACGGAAGTTTTGTATATTTTTTATACGCAGAGCACCACGTTGGTCAGGTGGTCACCGTCTTAACAAATGTCGCGTAGGTACCCCAGATTTGCACAACAGATTCTTGTCCACTTCCAAAGGTATCGAAGGTTGTTATTTTTGTCGTGTGAGCGTGCTATGCCACCGGTTGAGACAAATGATACCTCAAACGAAAGAGAATGAACGGAAGTTTTGTATATTTTTTATACGCAGAGCACCACGTTGGTCAGGTGGTCACCGTCACCGCTGTGAGTCACACAAGGACGAGAGCAAGATAGCACGCTCTTCGGCGGCGCCAAGCTCTCCTGATTTGCCATATAGCATAGCCCATATATCAGTGTCGCTATGCCCGTTTCTTGTCAGCTTCAGAGTCGAATTCCCTGAAGCGGACCATGAAACAGCGTACCTATCATCATTCATCCCCGAGGGTGTGCTAGCAACAGAATGCTGAATGATTTACTTATCGGAAAAAGTAATCTGGGCTGCTTTCACGCATCCATTTCGAAAATAACGCTCAACTGCTCGAACGCGTTAGGAAAACAGCCCACTTTTCATTACTTTGATTCGTCGCAGTATTATGGGGCTTAGACAAATGTCAACCTGGTTCAAATTAAATGGATCATAAACTTAGAAGCATGTAGGTTATAAACGACCATGTGTTGCTTATTTTTATGCGTGCACGTGCGAGTAACATGTGACCGAAGTGGCTTCAAGACTTCTGGGACACCGGACACCCTACATTACCTAGTCGTGCAGCTAAATTGCGTATTGTACCACAGATGTTCTTGAAGAGGAAAAGAATTGTCCATCGCCGCGCGCCCTTGGTGTTTTTGCTTGGCTGATTGGAACAGCTGAATGGTGCTTCTCTCATCTCCAGAATTTGAGAATTAACACACTCCTGGAATTACCATATGTCATGGTTGGGGTGCTACTCGTGTGCAGGGGTCGTTTTCAAATCTCGGGAACGGCTGGCCGATTGTGCTAAACTTTTGTACCTACACCATTAGGCAAGAAGGATCAAGGATGTCGTGCAAAAATTTGGTGAGGTCCAGTTTGGACGTTCGCACGTGGAGGGTGCCGCTTTCCACATCTCAAGAACGGCTAGATGGGCCGGTTGCTCTCACTTTTGGCGCACCAGACCGGTTAGTGAGTTGCCGTGCATACTGCATACAGCATAGGTCAGCCTTTGGAAGAAGTCCCTCAAACATTTGTAAGTGCAGGTAAGTGGAATTGCTTTTCGCGTTCGTTTATCGCCGCGTATAAAGGCGTCTTATGCAGTAGCGGCGGAACACCTTCAACTAAGGGGGGCACTGCCGACTTTTGGTCCCATTCTTTCCATGCAACGCCCATAGGGCTAATGTTTAAATGCCAAAATCAAAAGGGGCACGGTGCCCCGGTGCCCTCCCCGTTCCGCCGCCTATGGTCTTATGTACTTATTGGTAAATATCTACCGTATACGACGCGATGCTTGGCAATGCTGATGAGCATATTTTTATAAAGCCAAGGGAAAAACTTTTCTTTTTCTTAGCTTTTTTATGGGTTCGTCAGCATGAGGCTTCGGTTTCTATCGAATAGATTTATCAGTTATCTATCATAATATACCTCAAAGCCGTGTTATTATTACGATTATTACTACATGCTGAATGATTGCATTTTCTTAGCATATAAAAGTAAACTTCATTTAGCAGGTGAAATGGTAGCAATGCTACCAAATTACAAAGGGAGACAGCTCTGGTGCAGTTGCTACATCTTAAATAAGCTGTTCAGGAACTAATGATACCTGCTAGTTTCCATGGTGATTTCTCCAATAAACGTTTTCTGACGTCCGAATCAGCATGAGAGAAACTGATTATCCTGCTAGTTATCTATTACTGAACAGGTTCTTGTAGTAGTTGCTTTATTTTCTACACTGTATTTTCCTATGTGTTTCCCAGTTCTCTATATACCGTGATGTTTCCTATCTAATTTACACTCGGTATTGTGTACTTGTAATGTGCGGAGTAAACTGCCTGTAATAGTCCTGGTAATATAAATATCATTCATTCTGTTGCTATCATTTATCTAACCCCTCAATGCATCAAAAAGCATCACAAGACCAAGGCCCTAAATAGCACAAGACTAATGCATGCTTGAGTCTTTTGAGGTTCCCTGGAGGCTGGAACAACGTGCTGGATGCTTTTCTTTATTCCTTTTGCTTTCAATTTATTCAAATAGGTCAATCTTAATTTTCTGTTCTGATAAAATAATGCAGCAACATGTAGTCAATTTAAGTCACCCACTTATATGCCTTGCCCTTAAGAATGTTCATTGCATTTAGTGTTTTTCTTTCTGAAATGAAGTGAAAGGAAAAAGGGCGTACTGTGTTCTCTAAGTGTTATTATATATTACAACAGTTCAGCAAGGTTTTCAAATTTGCAGGCTGTTGCTGAGAAAACAGTGTGCATGCTTATGCCTGATGTTTTAACATCAACTTTGATAGCATTTGAGGGTAAGAGGTTGCAGTTAACTGGCAGGAAATGCTAGATAAGTGTTTTTGTGATACTATTAAGCTTTGTATAATCAGAAATGAAATGCTTGGGGGTGTTGGTGTCTCCAACCTCCCTGTTTTTCATAACCATTTTCTACTATTTTGATAAAGTACCTACTTTCCAACGTCTTGGAAAATGCCAGCTGTATTTTTTATCCTGAAACAATGAAATAGGTACCCAAATTTCAGCATGATCCCAGTATATTGTCTGCCTGTCAGATGTATGTTCCTGCTATACTTATGAAAAAACTTGCTAAATATTATTGGCAGGCATGATGCCTACTGTCCATTGCCAGTTGCCACCTGCCAGCAGGCAGCATCTGTCAGTGATATGAGCTATGCTGTGACACCCCTGTTGTGTTCCAGACAGAGCCCCCAGACACCTGTCACCATGGTGCTGGCCGTGCAGCTGACTGGCTATCTGGTGTCAGTGTGTCTCAGCTTTGTGGTGCTGGTGCCTATGCTACTCAACTTCAAGGACTTTAGGTGAACTTTGCTGACTGTGCTTTAAATCCATTTTTATTTGGTTGCTCTGCATCTGCTGACCACATTCTGCATTGTTTCATATGGTGGCATTACATTTTAAAAACTTTTTCACCAACATGTCTCTTCCAAACCTACCGTCCATGTTTTCAATTTCTTATAAAGCTATCAATTGTCAGATTGCAGAGCAAACTTTGCTTAGTTGTCATTAGTGCATTGACTGCTTTTCTGTTGCAACCTTTATATTCGAGCCTCTTTTATCTTAACAGTCCTTACTGGTGAAAATGATATCAATGACATGACCTACCAATGACCAATTGCTCCCTGTCTTTGTCCCCATCAGATACAAATGTCTGCTGTTCACTGCCGGTGACTTCCGCGAGCAGGATGGCCAGTTTGTGCCGCAGTGGGCGTCCAGCATCTACTGCTACTACGTCATCTTCATGTCGGCCACGCTGACGCTCATCTGCGTGCTGCAGGCCGTGCGCACCATGCTGTTCCTCCGCCACGACACGGACACGTGAGTGGGGCGGGTCGGAGTCGGCGTACGAGACGGCTCTGTGACTGCCTGTGGAGTAGAGCTGGTGCGATGATGGTCTCATACCAAATATCCCAAAATCGTGTTCAATGTAATCTGATGTGACTGGTGGCTGCCGAGAAATTGGAGTGCAGCTTCGTTTCCCAAATGATCGAAATCCAGCGTGCTTTTAACCAGTGCTTAGGTACTAAAGATGACTTTGACACTGAAACTGCTGTGCTTTGGATGTCTGACATGGTAAAGCAGGCAGCAGCTAGGCATGATGAATGTTAAATGTTTCTCCATTGACTCTTTGATGGCTTTACATGTATTTACAGCGTGTTTCACGTGCCCACCTTCAATTCAGTCGCGCAGTAAGCTGACGTCTCCCTACGCTTCCCTCAGGTCATTCTCGGGGGCGTTCGTGGAGATGATTGTGTGCATTTTCACGACGCTCGCCTCCCTGGTGGCTGCCCTGTTCGTCACACTGGGCTACGAGGTGTGGTGCGACAACATCACGAAACGATTCGCCACGTGAGTTAGTGGTAGCGGGTGTCCCCGGGTTAGCCCGTGAGGGTGGGTGGGTGGATGGGATGGAATGGGGAATATACAGTGGCTGGAGGGCAGGGTGGCTTACAGCTGAGTGGTTGGAGAGATGCTGAAAGGATGCTATCAAACGTTGACTGTTGAATATTGTTGTTTATTATTGCATGCTGTCTCCCGCCAGTTCGCAGCTGTGTGACGCCGTTGTTTCGTGTCTGTCATTCTGTCATTAGTCCAGTGGCATGGTGTCACGCCTTGTGTACGTGACGCCGCGCTGTCACGCCTTTCATACTGTCGTGTGACGCCGCTCTTCTATCGCCGTCAGGTGTTCTGATGCCACCCAGAATCAGATCGACGTGGCCGATAACATCGACACGGCCAACTTCTACCTGGAGATCGGTATGGCGCAGGTTAGTGATTCGAATGAACAGCTGATGAATGCTATAGATCGGTCCACAGGAATATTGAGATGCTACCGATTAGTGATTACCAAAGCATACCAATCATTCGACAAGGGTTGTGCTAATAATATACGGTTCTCAACTGTCATAGTTGACACCGTCCTCATTTGTCGAAGTTGACAAGACGGGGTAAATTATATAGTAGATGCATCTGTCATACGAAACGGGATGAATTCCGCTTTGTCTTCGTTAATTGCGGACTGCTGCAGCCCTTCCCCGCTAACGTTCCCTTCTGTCCGTTCCCCGTCCGCGTCTCCAGTTCGGCGCCTGGTGTCTCTGGTCGGCGTCAGTGGGACTCTGCGTCTGCGCCGTCCTCAAGATGTGCAAGTTCCACCAGGACGAGAACATCCGACTGAGCATGGCTCACGAGCGTGAGCGACAGCGGATCATCCGCGGCGGGCGCACCACCTCCCGGTACGGGCCCATGGTCGAGACGGCCGACGCTGGTGACGCCTAGCGGCGCTGCTGCGAACTACCGGTAGTCGGGAGTGGGACCGAGAACAAAGTACGGTGGGTGGCGCTGCGCTGCGGCGGTCGGCCGTCCAGCTTTGAGCCGTGGGTGCCATGTCAGTACGACGTGAAGTGTTCTTTCCAAAAGTATTTACGATACGCTCAACTACGGGCTGGCTCGTTTCGCTACGTTCTCAAACCAGTTCAGCCACGTTGTCTAGGGAAATCGTTCAGCAAAATTTGAAGAACCGGCGTTCTGGCTGACTTATTTGAAATTTCATTTCATTTCATTTCAGCGTAGCGTAGAGTTCGTGGCCGCACCGGGGCTGGGCGTTCTCTCAGAGTCGGTACCTGAGCGCCCTGCAGTGTACTGTGCCGGTATCGCTGGCCTCATCTCGCTTCCGTGCGCCTCCCTGTCGCTCCTTGTGGGCCGTGTCTGCATTGTAGTAGTGTCGGTTCGTGTTTTCCCTGCGGTCAGACCGTCTTTAGGTGTCCGCCGGTCCCCAGTGGCACCTTACCCGTGTTGGGACGGCCGATCGAAGACCGGGCTGGCTCGCTTCTGTTGTGGTCAGTGCGGTATATCGACCAGGGACTATCGGGACGGCGGTGGGGTGTTTTGTACGTTTGCTGCGAATTATGAGTAGGTGCAGTCAAGCCCAAGGTTTCACGATATTGGGTACAGTGTAGCAAATTGTTAAACAATGTTTGTCTGCTGCGCGTGCGTCGATGCACTGCGCAGCTGTTGCATGCATGTATTGTATATTGTAATGTATATTTCGCCAGTCTGATCTTGGCGATGCGTGTCAATAGTATGGCTATATAGTAGCAATAGGTCCATTATTTATTGATACGGGAATGGCACCTCCATCCATAGGCTGTTGATGACACCGTTTGTGTGTGTGGTTTGTCGGTAAATGGTGAAATTTCACCAATCGCCGACAATCCCTTTACTTCGGCTAGGCTATGTAATGTATAACGCCATTTGTGCAAAGAGTCCATAACATACTGCAATATAACTTATGTGTAAATCTTTCTTTTGGATATTTATTTACCTTGTTTCATGCTCAAAATATGGACTTCAGTAACTATCGAGCAGAATGCGATAAATTCATCGAATGCGACAGTGGGCCATGCCGATTATTATTTGATGAACAATAATCAGTGTGGGAGCTTCCGCTTACCTAAAATGTGGACAACATGTCAAATGATACTTCCTTAGAATAATAAAAAATTATGCATATGCCATAAAGACGTTACTCACCTATGAACTAACAAGCGAAAGGGATGTTCATGCCAGTGGCGTCGCGCCCGCTTCATGAGGCGGCGCCTGATCGGTCATATTCTACGAGGGGGTATCGAAAAGTTCTGATCATCACATAGAAGATGTAGACCGATTTTGATGATTTTTGGTTGGTGTGATATTTGGTTGTTAAGAACAATGTTCCCGCAAAGAGAATCCTGAGAACTGGTTTTATCTTATGTAAGAGAGACTTAGAAGTAAAAAAGATTAGTGTTGGGCCCATTGAGGACCGAACAGTCATCCAACTAATGCATTTGAAACGGTATCACACTGAGAAAATGCATCAAGAGCATGAAATTAGTTTATGGTGAGGAAAGCCCATCTCATGCACTTACCGAAAATGAAGAAATAATTTTCAACTTTGTTGCATGGCCCTTGCACGGAAGTCAAGAAGTGAGTGACTACCAATGACTGACAAGGTGGTGACTGTGCAGCAGGGCTGAAAAAAGTGTTTCGGTGGTTGTCGTCCGAAGGAACACGGGCTTATTTGGTTGTCGACTAAAGATGTCTAAGCCGCGGCCCGCTGAGGGTCCTTGATTTCCACGCCCTGCTGGGGGGAGGAGGTCCAACACCCCGCTCTTTTAACTCTGATCCTGGGACAAGTAGTGACAAGCAGTAAACGGCATTCGAAAGAACGTCCAAAATAAGGACGAAAATATGTCATTCATTTTTTAGGTCAAGTCAAAGGTCAGGTCACCAGAGTCCAGATGCCATTAAATGAAAAATATTGCCTATTTCAACCTTTTTTCGAAACACCGGCACACAACTCGGGAATCAATTAGGTATAGAGCTACGGCGCCGCGGAAAATATTTTATAGCTCTTTTGACCCTTTCCGTGACCCTTTCACGGTGCCCCTGGTCGACTTCCACTCACCTTTGAACAAAACGTGCTCAAGTTAGCACATGCACTTTGGTCGTGCATACGCCACGGACCCTGCGTGCGAATACATTCTTATTCCTCTCCTTGAAAGCGCAGGGCTCTCAGCTGTGAGGCTCAAATGTCCGACGATCCTTATTCCTCGACCTCGGAAGTCCCGAGACACCGTATCCTCGTGGGCATGACATGGCGTGCCCTCCCCGCATCAAAATATTATCGGCACTGACGCGGTCCCACTGTGGCCCTACCCTCAGGCGCCGCCGGGGGTGCGTATGACGTCACAAAAGGAGCCCCGGCGGATTGGAGGGGACGCTAACTGACCGCCCGCCGGGGGGCGGCGCTGAAGGGTGCGGGCAGGGGCCGGCCGAGTCCTGGAAGGTACTAGATTTGCCAGACACGTGTTGCCAGCGGACAACCACGGCGACCACTTGGTATGTCATTGGTCGCCTTTATAAGGGTCGCCGGTCGGCCGTCCGAACGATGGTCGAACGACGCAGTATATACTAAATAGCTACGGGGATTTGGAATATGTCTGTAGCTACCAGGAAATTTTCCACTGAGATGCCGCCGCGTAGGGTGATAACGGACTCGAGAACTGCGAGTCGATTTGATGGGGGAGGGGCAGAGAATGGTTTGCGTGGACAGAGGCGATTGGGTTGGGTGGGCAGAGACGAATGGATTGCGCGCTTCAAACCGCATAGGCGGGAGGTCTGAATCAGTTCAGGCGCTGCGCGTGGTCGCCATAAGATCGTCTTCTCGGTTGTCGTCGACAACGACAAAACGACACAATTTTTCACCCCTGCTGTGCAGGAAGTGGAGGACCTCATCCTTACAGATCGTCGTGTGACCTTTCAGATGATTGTGCAACAGAAAGGTTTCGATGCTGGCGGTGCCTGAAAATATTATCAGCGAAGAACTACAGACGATAAAGGAGTCAGCCCGTTTAGAAGTTCGTGTGTCTACTTTGTTCAGGAGAAAAATGCGTCTTGGCCCTTCGAAATGAAAACTAGGCCTTTTAGGAAATTGAAGACATCTTCGATCATTTGATGACTTGTGACGAATGATGGGTCTAGGTGTATGATCCAGAGACAAAAAGATGATCAAGAAGTTTAAGCACGGCACATCTGTCCTTCTTAAAAGACGAAGATGCAGAAGCCGATATGGAAGATCAATGCTATCAGTGTTCTAGATCTGGCGTAGGATAGTCATTACCGACTGTCTTGATGATGGTCGGATAATGATAAGCAAGCACTACTGCACACTTTTGAAGAAGTTGCGAGATGGCCTCAAGAAAAATCGCCGCATAAAAGCCCAAGAAAGATGTTTTATCCGCACCGACAGCGCCCCCGCCTATTCGTCCTGAGCTGCGATTGAAGAAACAACATATGTGGACATCAAATCCTACCGCATCTAACAAATGCACCTGGCCAGGTATTAACTGACTCTTGATTGTTACGGGAGATGAAGAATCCACACTATGGACGGTGTTTTATGGACAGAAATGACGTCATTGATGAGGTGGAGTAGTGATTTACGGGACAGTGCGAAGGTCCTGCAATGACCGCCTGAGGCAGCTGAAGAAACGATACAATAAGTTTGCGGTCGTGTGTGGTGACCTGTAAAGGAGTAATGAACATCATGTAAAAAAATCAGATTTCTATCTCATCTAATTCATGGTGATGATCAGAACTTTTCGATACCCCCTCGTAAGCTTCAAATAGCGCATAAGCGGCATTGTTAAATATCCTCTGAGTTGAACGTGAGCGGCCCTATATACAAGCATGAACAGTTCGTGGGCATTGAAAAACGACCGTTCTTTCTCGCTTTTGACTCCCAACGATGTGTGCTTCCGGCGTCTCTTCCCACACACCGTTAGCCTTGGCTTAATTGGACTAATGGGCTTAAGTGACGTGTTTATTTATTTGTCCTCAGCTGAAAATTGGTGCGTATGAAAGTAATTATCACAAAGCAATAGTTCGTACCCGTCAGCTGCATATTTAGTCGCAGCCTCCGCCTCCGCCGCCGCTGTCACAGCCACCTCCGCCGCCGCCGCTGTCACAGCCACCTCCGCCGCCGCCGCCGCCACTGTCGCATCCGCCGCCCCAGCTACTGCCTCCGCCACTGTCGCAGCCGCCTCCCCAGCTGCTGCCTCCGCCGCCACCGCCGCCGCCGCTGTCACAACCACCTCCGCCCCAGCTGCTGCCCCCGCCACTGTCACATCCGCCGCCGTCGTCTCCGCCGCCACTGTCGCAGCCGCCGCCGTCGTCTCCGCCGCCGCTGCCGCTCCAGCCGCTGTCGTTGCCGCTACTGGCGAACATGTATTGGTTATTTCCGTAGTTGGTCTGGTGGCTCCTGGACACTCCGCCGCCGCCGCTGCCGGACGTGCCGCAGCACCAACTGCAGCAGTCGTCCTCCGCCGGGGGCGGCGGCGGGGCCACCTGTCCGGGACCGTAGTGTTTGAGTTTGACACCCTCCTCGGTGGTCTGACCGGCCAGGGCGGTCGGCTGGTCGCTCACCACGGCAGGCTGACCGGTCCCGTCGCCTCCGTTCGTCGCCGACATCGTGCCTGAGTGCAGAGAAACATCGCAGCTCAGTGTGAAGGAATGTCACGTTTGAGTGAAGAATTCGTCACTGACACCGATTTAGGGTTGGCGGGTATGTGAGAAGCGAATGCAAATGTGCGCAACACGCCAGTCACCATTCAGTCGCTGTTACACGTCATCCGATAGCTGTGGCCTGTGTTGAATCGGAAATGACTAAGTCGGGACGTTCGACGTAGCGCATGAACGGGCGTGCAGTGCGGTTTTGAACCCAGCCCAAAAGAATGGTACTGCGTATTCTTATTTAGGTAATTCACCAGTATGTTGGCTAAACGATGAATCTTTAGAGGGTACTGTACTCTGTGTTATTCGAGAGTGTTACGATGCTCAAACGTGAATCAGAGCTACTCGATATTTGTTCATTCAAGTATCTGCATCTTGTATAAGAAAGTTACGCCCCCGGAATGACTTGAATGACTACATAACTCGAAATCAGAGAAGCACTAAAACAAAACTAAGCAGCCTTCGGTGATTTTTAATTACATGTGACATGCAATGTCCAATAATACCTAATCGTCAGCAAGGAAACACATGAAATCCTAGGACCGCCCGCGCCATGCCACTTTACATTGACGCATTATGACGTCTATGGGGTAAGGGGTAGGTCACGTGAGGGGTACATCTCAGATGGACCCACGACAGTGTCGCTCGGCTAGTATGGAGTTTGGACGTTCGCTCATGACAACGCAATTACACCTATATATGACGCATTTCACATAACACCCACGCTGCATTCTCAGCACCATCACAGTCTATCCCCGATTACGTCCACCCCGTTCTCTGACCTATTTACGTGCAGTGCCGATGTGTCGAAGACGGGCGGTCTCCCCTGGTTCAGCTCCTCGCTGGCGGGCGGCTCCCACCAGCCGCCGCTCCACCCTGCGCTCTGTGCCGCCGACTGCGTACTGCGCTGCTCCCGCCCGCACCGTCCCAGACGGATGGGACGGCCCGTACGCCGTACGGAACAGTCTGGGCCGGCCCGCAGGCCGCCCCGCGCCGCGCGGCCTTGGTCGCGGATTACGTCATCGTTTAGAGATGCGCTGGCGGCCGACGCAAAAAGTGGTATGGCGTCGGCGATTGCACTCGCTTCACGTCACTCATCAGCCGCCGTCCGTAGAAGGGTGGCAATGCCTCTGACGTAGTGTTCAGAGAAGTAGGCGGAGATGCGGAGCGTCTCGCGTAAACTGTAAAGTGTGCGTTATGGGTCATGAGGAATAGGAAGATGATGCGGCCCACGAACGTAGGTAGGTACTATATTCACAAAACCACGATTGTCACATGCAGTAACACCACCACCACGTTCTGTCCGAAGGAAATTAAACGGTGCATTATTGGGTTATGGGTACCCGTAGAGGTTTCCGAGCGCATCGATTTACACATTACAGGGTTCATTCAGTACTGAGAGAGGCCGATCTTATGATTAAAGGCACTAATGCAGCATCTGTTCCACCGGGAGCGCCTAACACTTCTCACGATGGGATTGAATTGACATTCGGCGCTCACATGTATGGTGCATGCAGTTTGGGGAGGCATGAAGGTTACCTTCATACGAGCTAGCATCGTTTGCGTGCTTTTATTCCGTATGTCTGACAAACCTAAGCAAGGCCCTATATAAACCTAAGAAAATGAAGGGATTTGAAGCGCAACCGCCGTTTACATGCACTTGCCTTTATATTGCCGCAAATAGGTACCTAGGTATGTCCGTTAATATTTCTTTTTCTCACGGCTTCCGCTTTTCACACAAATTTTCTCTGAATGATACATTTCTATGATCAAAACGCGTATAAAGTGACTCAGGCGCTCCGTTCTTTCAAAGCTTTGTCAGAGTCGTGGCGAGTGGGGAGCAGGGACGTGTAGTGCAGGGCGCATCTGAAATCAACAAGGGCTGTCGCAATGAATGCTCAAAGGTGATGCGTTCATCAAATTTCCTTAGTACTTTTTATCCACTTTTTGCTCAGCAATACATATCTACCAATTAGCATGTTTTGCTTTCTCCACCTAATATTGACTACCTAGTATTGCATGCAGGAATGGGTACATTGATTTAGTGAACGCATTTTATTCTCAAAACAGCTGCGCAGTAGTGCCAATAGTCAACTTGTCAGATTCTAAATTAATATTTTGAGTGACGTCATTGCAATTATTAGGATAGCAACTCACTAAAATAAATACATGAAGCACTTGATAATGTAGAACCTAAATCACAAATTAATGATATGTGCACAAAAATTATTGATAATTTGCTATCTGGCTCGATTTTTTAAAGTTTGCTTTTTGTACGTCATATACGAGGAGAGACTCCGGAGCCTGAATTTGCCATCGCTCTACTATCGGCGCCGACGAGGCGACATGATCTCGGTTTACCAGGTGCTTCGACGGGGAGTGGATGTTGACCCATCTCAGTTCTTCACTGCGGCGACGACGACCAGAACTCGAGGGCATGAGTGGAAGCTGTCCAAGCCAAGAGCTGTCTCCAGAGTGCGGCGGAACGCCTTCAGCATACGAGTCCTGAACGACTGGAACTCTCTGCCATCCGCTGTCGTCGATGCGCCCTCAGTCAATAGCTTCAAGGCCAGGCTTGACGAACACTGGGCTCACGCCAAGTTCACCATACATTCCAACGACTGATGCAGTGACACACTGACACAAAGCTCGTCACGTCCGGATCCAAGAGGCCAAAAGGCCTTCCTAAATTCCGCATTTTATAAGTATAAGTAAGTATAAGTATATAGAAATAGAAAGTCAGCTATTCCAATGTCAACAAAACAATTTCTTTCATATTTTTCGGGACTTTTTGGATTAGGTTGGATTTTTTTGCGGATATTTTCAATATTTTTTAAACAGAACAACCAAAATGTCACTAAGCTGTGTTGCGAAAGCAGGGTGTAATGGACTGGAGTAATGGACTGTAACGTCTGGGCTGGGAACCAGATTCTTACCACTGAACTCATGAACAAAGTACATGAATAGCTAAATTTGGTATGTTCAGTTTTAACCCAATCCCATCAGACAGTTAGCAAATGTGAAATGCTAGTTAGGTATACAATGCTTGTTATCCTCAACTGACCATAAAATTATGCTCTGCTTTTCCAGAAATTGATATGGATACAGATAGTGCAATGGAAGTTGATTTAACTGGAGACTCTGCATCAGCAGAGCCGAGTCTACCAGAAAACAACAGCCCAGATCTTATGAGAGAAGGTTTCAAATACTTCAAAAGAAGAAAGCCCCCACCTGATCTCTCAAATGTCATTGACTTTGACCAATGTGAAGCAGAAGGCTTGCATCAGCATGTAAGTGCTCTGTAAATCACCCATCTACATCTACTACTATGGACGTCAAACCCCTTGAGACCCCACTTTTTTGCGATAATTTTTAAATGCGTCAACTCTCGTTGACAATATTCTGGCAATGTGTGTTTTAGAACCTGCCGAAACTTTTATTACTAAGGTATTTTGACGCCAAACGATTATGAAAGGTACTTCTCATTCACTCGTAATGTTAAATTTCACGGAACGAATCTGCTCTTTGGGTAGAGGCTACGCGCTCATGGGGCGGAGCCACGCAATGACGTCAGCGCTAAGCTCCGCCCTACCCCTCCGGCGCTCCTTGCCCGGCGACCGGTCACTCGCGTCTCTCGCTCCATTCAGGCTTGATGGTGGGCGGTAGCTGATAGCGGTAGCGGGCGCTGGTAGATGGCATTTAGAGCAGATGGCGCTGGTGGCGGGGCTCGAGTGTGGCCGAGCGCAAGCCTCTGCCCGGGCCTGAATTGACCTTAGCATTACGAGTGAATGAGAAGTACCTTCCATAATCGTTTGGCGTCAAAATACCTTAGTAATAAAAGTTTCGGCAGGTTCTGAAACATACATTGCCAGAATATTGTCAACGAAAGTTGACGCATTTAAAAATTATCGCAAAAAAGTGGGGTCTCAAGGGGTTTGACGTTCATAGTAGTCTACTCCATCTACTCATACTAGCACTATCTGCTAGTGTATCAGAATCTAGAATTTGGAGTGACAGTGTTTCCTTTTCTTGCAGACCTAGCTTACTTTGCAACTGTTTTGTATAAACTGCTTTTTTATTTTCAAACCATTTGGTAATCAAACATAGCAATGTGCTCAGTTCTGGATGCTTTATTAATTTAATTTGATTTAAGAAGCTGCACATTATCGCTTGACAAACATTAGCTTTCATGATACCTAGGTATTTGATTCCTGATCAAAATGTGTTCCATTTGTCAACTGAGTTGCAACTTGCAAAGCAAGTCGTTTCTCCCTTTTGCTGACACTTTGTTGACTGCTCTCAGGGGAATGTTAAACCGTACCAATTGCTGATCCCAGATGATCCCACTGCCTTCCAAGAACTGGGATTGATCCACCCACAAGAATGGAAGGCATTCTCCTTGGAATCACATCCAGGTATGTGAAACCGGAGCATATTGTCATAAGGTTCTCCCAGCTTTAGCTACCTATTGTCTGTCATTCTAGTATTTTTTGCACCCATCAAACTTCCTTTAACTTCATTACTTTTCAACCAATTATTGAAAATTATAGTTGTGTCAAAGTCACACTAATAGTTCAAGCTGATCAAGTTTACTCTCCATCCTTTAAATTGCCTCCCAGGCTGCTTTATAGGGTAATCTGCATTCTCAATTCTCATACAGAAAACAATAAAATTGTATGGTCCATGATAGACCGATGTTACTCGCTTTCCCCCATGAGGAATCAACATTACCCTGATGTCTCCCGTGACGGGTGGACGTAACCCGATGTTTAATGGATCGCCGTTTTCCTCTATCCTCTGTAATGTCGTGCGTTGACAAAAGCTCTCGCTCTCTGGCAGGTATGATCCTGCTACGTAACCCGTTCACTCCGGCCGGCCAGCGCCACTGGGCCGGCCGCTGTGTGCGAGACCTGCCCGGTCACCCTAACAAGACCAACCTGGACGCCCAGGGTCTGCTGCCACCTGGCGGTAACTGGTGGAAACACTGCCTCGAGTGAGTGGCCGCCAAGCTGTGCTACCGGTTAGCGCGATGGAGAAACAGGCTAGGCTCGTGGCGAATTATAAATATCTTCGATCGTCCCGTATGCGATTAAGATTTTGTTTTACCCTTCTTGGCTAGTCTTTATGCAATATGACTTAAAAATCTGTTGGTGGGGACAGGTTACATCGCAAATACTTGGTGTCTATGCCTGGGAACATTATGTGTTGTTTTGAACTATCTCCAAGTCGTCCGACCGGTGTCTGACCGCTCAATCTGCCGTCTCCGCCAGTGGAGCAGACTGGGAGCGTCTGAAGAAGCTGCGCTGGGTGACGCTCGGGTTCCACCACGACTGGGAGACCAAGGTAGGTGAGACCATTGGATGTCTGACGCGTCTGTTTTTTTTTTTCGGGCGGGGGAGGTGAGACATGGGATAAATGACGCCGGAAAGTAGAAGGAATTCAGCTCAGTAGGCGGTAGTGCCAGGCACCAGGATGGTCTGCATAAGGAGTCAGAGTTGTGAAATATAGTCACAGTTCTCAATCACTGATGTAATGCGTACAAATAAAACTGTGTGCGTTCCAGTTCAGTCGTATGATGTGTGCTCGTTCCCAGTCCATTTCAACTGTATAACTATTCCGTTTCAGCTGTATAACCTGTGCGACCGTTCGCCGTTCCCGTCCGACCTGGCCCGGCTGGCCTCTCTGCTGGCCGGATGTGTCGGCTGGCCCAGCTACTCGCCAGAGGCGGCCATCGTCAACTTTTACCACTGGGACTCGACGCTGGCGCCGCACACGGACCACTCCGAGTGGGACATGACGGCGCCGCTCCTCTCCCTGAGGTGGGGCGATACTCGCGCTGTCGCCGCTTGTTGATATCGTCTCTGTGTGTTGGTTTATCGATATAGTCTCCAAACCCCTTATCTTGGAGTTAGGAGGTAATTGCACAGGAAGGGTGACTTAGTCGTTCTCTGGTGTGTAGCGGTAGTTCTGTTCGTCATGCTGACGTGGTACTGCAATCGATATACATGTAAGTATAACCAACATGTAAGATAATGTAATGTTATGTAATGTAATACATGTAAGATAATGTAAGTATAACCAACCAACCTCTAAACACCCAACTGTCTCTAGTTTACTCAACCCACTATGACTGCAGCTTACCCGCCTCATCATATCCCTCGCTCGGTCTCACATATTGTTCCCTGGTCTACCAAACCTATATCTAAAATCCAACACCATCCCTCTAGGCACTCACCGCTCTCTTTTCAGTCCTCTGCGGTTAGTTTCGGCTACTCTACCGTGCTCTCACCGTCCATGTCTAACCCCACCCCTGCCGTCAGTTTCGGCTACCCTACCACTGTCCTCTAACTCTCTCTCGCTCCTGCCACCAGTTTCGGCCAGTCGGCGTTGTATTCGTCGTCTCTAACTCTTCCCCCACCTGCCACCAGTTTCGGCCAGTCGGCGGTGTTCCTGCTGGGCGGCCGGGACCGCTGCCAGGCTCCGGTGGCGCTCTACCTCCGCAGCGGAGATGTGCTGGTGATGGCCGGCCCCAGTCGGCTCAGCTACCACGCCGTGCCGCGCCTGATGCCCGCCACAGACGCACGGTGGGTTAGGAAGGAGAGTTGATCGGCCATAGGCGCACAGTGGATGAGGAAGGGGAAGGTTGACGGGCTACATTCGCACGGTGGGTCAGGGGGACGAGGGGATCTGACTTCCCACCGATGCATAGTGGGTGAGGAGAAGGGGGACGGCGGAGCGGCTACTGACGCGCGGCGGGTGAGGGATGGAAGGAGGGCCGGGGCACCCGAGCGGTCACAACTGCACGATGGGTGCGGGCCGCGGGGGCCGGGGAGGGGCTGATGGTCCAGCTACCACGCCGTGCTGCGGCTGCTGCTGGCTGCGGACGGTAGGTGAGTGAGACCGGACAGCTGGCTAGACCGAGGTAGCAGGATGTAGGGAATGTGGGGTGGATGCCGTGGGATGAATGACGTTTGTCTGCGTGTGTTGTTGGGGGGGGGGGGAGGGGGTAGATATTTTGCCTCGGATTTATTAACTCTGTGGGAACCCGTAAGTGTTTTGACAGTCGTTCGCCTCCCCAATCCCCATCAATCCCATCACCGCCTCTGGGCTCGGACACTGGCCATTCCTCCGTTTCCTTTTTCTGTCCGACAGATGGCACGACGGTAAGCGTAAGCTGAGTGCCGACTGCTGCGGCCAGCCGAAACTGGCCCGGGTGGCCGCCGCGGCCAACGGTGACGTCACCCACCACCGTGACGTCATCCGGTGTGAGTGTGAGTCCGGGGGCGGCGGCGGCGGCACGGACCCGGTCATAGAGTACCTGAGCCGGAGCCGGATCAATGTCAATGTCAGACAGGTGTTCCCCAGGGGTCTGATGCTCCGTCCCGAGGACCCGTGAGCTCGCGACGGAGGGGTGAGAGGGAGGGAGGGGTTGACGTGGCTGTGGGGGTCGATGGGGTAGTTGTGACGCGTCGTGTACCAGTCGATTTTGCACCAGTCGATTTTGCGACTGGTAGATAGTATTTGTACACTGCACAACTACTCAGTCAAGTGAAGGAATTTAAACTGGCGAAACCATGGCGGGGAACGACGGCTGCAGTTGCCGTCCTCAGAATGACGTTTTCCTCGACACCGATTGGCATAACAGATTGAAAGTTCGGGATCTGAGGACAGCAGCGGGGGTTGTATCGCGGTGTGTTTAGTAGAGTTAGTTGGTTTTGGTCAGGTTGCGACATGACTGACCAACAGGCATCGGTAAAATCCTTTTTGAAAGGATTGCATTCCCAATCCACATTCCTAGTGCCGAAGTGGATTGCATTCCTACCCGCAATCCCCTTTTTTCACTTGGGTTGTGATCAAATCCGCAATCCTTTTTTTGCAATCCTGTTGTATTATTATGTGCACTAGAGGATCTGAAGGAGGGAGGGGGGCATAGGGCCGTGCCTCCATCCCCAAATCCCCCATTTCTAGTACCTAGTCTTGCGAGTAATTCCTTTCTAAGGCACAGGTATTTTATGGGAAATACAGGGTCTTTCATAATGAATGTTACTTTTGAACATTTAGTTAGGAGCTCTTAATTTATCACTTCCGCGTGAATTTTATATGCGTATTATTGCAAATTGATTAGGGTTTTGTTCCAAAAAATAAAAAAATTCACAACGCCAATTTTCTTTCACGCAAAAGCAGAGTATGTCGACACCACCAAAACGCATTACGGATTACGGTCGACGGACAAGTCTTCAGCCATTGGCTCTCCCCTGGGTCAACACTGAACGGGGTGGCTTACCTCAGGCTGCTCAAGGAATGCTTCTGCCTCAGGTCAGGGACAAGGTTCAAAGAGACGGCCTGTGGTTCCAGCAGGATGGTGCCACAGTGCACACCACGGCAGCTGTTGCGCCAGTGGCTGATCGAAAATTTCGAAGAGCGCGTTATCAGCCGCCTCACCGAGCGACCATGGCCACCACGGAGTCCTGACCTCTCCCCGCTGGACTACTGGTTTTGGGGAGTCGCATTGGCTGATCTGAGACAAAACCCTCCTGCAGCCATCCACTGCGAACCACATTGGAAGGGTTTGCTGGAAGCCTGGACCCAGACGTTGTGAGGCGCGGGGTGCGACACCTTCATCAGAGGGCCGAAACGTGTGCCTTAATTAAGGGCGATCAGTGGAAAATTCCTGAGGAGTATTAAAATGAAAGTTGTGTGTGCAAAAACGCTAATGTGTTTCTGTTTCATGTGATGGTACATATTACATGAGGAACATATATGTCCTGAGAAATAGCTCTTTCAAAAGTAACATTCATTATGAAAGACCCTGTATGTTTTGCCTCAAACACCCCCACATGTAAACCTCTACCCAACCAGTGTTTTATATTTTTAAAACTCGCCCTAAAATACGTAATTTTGCCCTTCCTATATAGTTCATCAGCGTATATTATTTGAGCGTTTAAATTAAAAGCGTTTAAATTATTTCAAGTTTCGATGTAAAGCCCTTGATAGCAAATTACATTAGGCCGATGAAGCCGATCTCATAATTTTCAATCGCAACAAACCATTTCAAAGCACTAATCAAACACAATCCGGATTGGATTGCAAAAATTGGAAGTATGATGCAATCCAATCCGCAATCAAATCCTGTTTTTTGGAATGGATTTCAAATCCAGGTGCAATCCACCAAAAAGGAATGCAATCAGGATTTTGCAATCCTGCAATCACAATCCTACCGATGCCTGCTGACCAATGACCATCGTGTTTTCCTTGAGTGGTAGCTTTCAGTAGGTCTATTTTTTCTACAAAACGCCAACTGCCGTTTTGCAGGATGTGTGCCTTAATGTGGCTTGTTTCGCCCTCACGCATAATTGTTTTTGAGCTGCCATCTTTGTATGACGAATAGCTCGACGCTTGTTCGCGTGGGGCTGGTCCCAAGACGCAGGTGTGTTATTCTCGCTTTATTCTATGATGCATAACATTGATCCATGGTTTTATGTCCGCTTTTGATGGCCTACCTAGACATTCAGAGATGTCTCTGTCAGTGGCTCAAGGAACCCACGTATATCTTACGTGGGTAATTTTGAGGTGCCATTTCACTGCAGTTTCGCTTGCATGTGACTATACCATGACAATAGCTGTGTATAATGTACAGTCACCAGCACTTGCTACTAATCACCTCGTTTTTGTTCAGCAGTTTGAAGACCGATCAATTCTCAGTCGAGCAAGATGCGTCAAACGATCGGTTTGGTCCTCTGATTTTCGAATATCTAACTTGTTTTTGTATATTCGAAGCATTTTGGGATGAGGAGCCAAAAAAACTCTTTTCTGCCCTAAAGTGTGCCCCAAGAAGTCGTAGAACCTAGCCCCGCCTCTGATCCACAGACCACTAGTGCCATCTCTTGTCAGCCGAACAAACCGCAGAAGTAAATAATGTCACGTGACTTTTGCACACGCTACAATTACTACGCAGCTGTAGTGGGGGAAGCGGGGCGGAGGCGTGGAGAGGGACGCGATCGGTCGGCTGGGGTCAGGTCGCCGAGGTCAGAGGTCATCCGCTGGAGGGTATTTGGGCGGTTGAGCCGTGTGGGCTTCGGCCTGCGGAGTGGGGAGCGCCTGGACCTGTCTGGAAACAAGTTCTACAATGCTGTGGCAGTCGAGAATATTGTGAGGAAAGGAGAGAGAGGGAGAGAGAGGGAGAGAGAGGGAGGGAGAGAGGGAGAGAGAGAGAGGGAGAGAGAGAGAGGGAGAGAGAGATAGAGAGAGAGAGAGATAGAGAGAGAGAGGGAGAGAGATAGAGATAGAGAGGGAGAGAGAGGGAGAGAGGGAGAAATAGAGAGGGAGAGAGAGAGAGGGAGAGAGATAGAGAGAGAGAGAGGGAGAAAGATAGAGAGAGAGAGGGAGAGATATAGAGATGGAGAGGGAGAGAGAGAGAGGGACAGAGGGAGAGATAGAGAGGGAGAGAGAGATAGAGAGAGAGAGAGAGAGAGTGAGAGAGAGAGGGAGGGAGGGAGGGAGGGAGGGAGGGAGGGAGGGAGGGAGGGAGGGAGGGAGAGAGAGAGAGAGAGAGAGAGAGAGAGGGAGAGAGAGAGGGGGAGAGATAGAGAGCGAGAGGTAGACAGATAGAGAGAGAGGGAGAGACCTATTTTACACCTAGGAAGACCTAGGAAAAGTGCGCCTCGGATGTGAAAAAATAAGACGTGAAATTGTAATAACACACTTAACCAAAATTTATTGAAGGATTCGAATTGAGATGGGTGCAAAATGATCTGACCCAAGATCTAACCTAAAAACGACCCAAAGCCTTCCTTCATTGTCCGAAAACCGCCAACAGTTGATAGCTCAATGACACTAGAGCCATGCATAAGGAGGCGTGAAAACACTCTCCTCATCTCGATCTATTACAAGAGGACCATGTCATGGCTTGAGAAAGGTGTTCTCAAAATAAATGACACAGTATGAGTGAATAAATAATCCGCGCCTCCTTGGGCTATTGGCGGACTCTACCACCTGATGGGGTGGTGCAGCCGTTTCGCCCTCCACCTGAGATCTCGGAAAGTTACCGATCGATTTTGAAAATTCAAAGAGCGTTTGATAGCCCCACCAGGGAACTACCTTGTTACCAGGTTTCGTTGACCTAGGTGCAACCCATGACGTCACAAGTCAGGTCAAAGGTAGCGTTTTTCACCGATTTAGTCTAAGGAATGCGTTACAGTCAGTTAACACATCAAATAAAAGACATGCTATCGAAAAACATCGATGGAGCGTTGGTTGCCTAACATATGTTGCCTAAAGTGGTCACTGATGCCAGGTCAGGTCACAGAGGTCAGGTCACTAAGGGTCAAAATATGAATCCAACTATGCTAGGGTCGTGTGATGTGATACATGTTCCCCCCCCCCCCCAACGAGGCTCGAGGCTTTCAGTTGCTGCTCTCACAGAACTCTTGGTTATATTACAACGCAGTGGAATTGCAAGTGGCGATATTAGCTTCCTGCCAGCGCCGGACCAGAGTTCAAACATTCAGGCTGAATTTTAACATTAAACTTTACAATTTTCAAACCGTTGAGCTTTTTAGAAGCTGTATGAACTGTTCAGCTCCTTTTTTGGTCCATCACAGCGGGCTTGTATGTCATTTGTCAACCAAAATCGAATTAATTTTTTTATTGGGTCTGGTTACCTCGCCAACTTCTTGACTGAATCGTTTATTAGCTTTTGATTGGGCACTGCCCACGTTGTCTGTCTATGACACGAGTAGAGGCTGCTGACATCGTTTGTCGCGATTAGATAATAATACCAAATACCAATCCAAGTCCCAGTGGCTGCTCGATCGCAATTTTCCTGGGCCCTGGCCCACCTCTCCAGCCAGGCTAGACTTTGCTCGGCACAGCCGTCGCCTCAGTGCCTCGGGCGGTGACCCGTTCAAAGGGGCTCACAATTCGTATGGTGCCGTGGCTCTCAAACCAACACAGAGCAGTGAGACGCACAGGCTCACTTTCCATATAAGGCGAACGGCTGATTCTGGCGCCGGGGCTTCATTCATGCTAAGGCGCCCAATCACAGCGCCGCATTTCAGTTAGTGTCGGGCGCAAAAGCTACTATGCTCCGCCCCTCCATCACGTGACCCTGCCCTCACGTGGCCTCAGTCACGTGGTGTTTCCACTTCTTGGCGCATGGCGGCGCTAGTCTCGCAGGGGCGGAGGTAGCTTGCTCCCCCGCCGTCCGGGGGTGATGGGTAGCAACTGCTGGTGACTGTACACAAACTCGCTTTTCTGCTGCCGTTTTGATAGTGTTTAATCTGTGTTCTTGTTTTGAGGGCGTGTTAAGTTTTGTGAGATGCGAGTGCAATCAGTGTTAGACTAGCCAACTGTTTTATCGTGTTTTGTGAACTTGCTTCGCCATTTTCGTGAATTGTGCCGTTCTCATCCTATCAATGATTCACGACAGACACAAGTTTCTGCTAGCTCAGATGAGCGTCCAACTACAATATGCCCTCTCCGTCCACTGCACACCAACAATAAAAACATTCTGCATCACGATCAATCTGTGTATTGTTACCCTTCTTGGCACCGCAGTTTGGTTGCCAGAGGCCGTGTACGAAGTCAGGATCGTGAACATATTCGGCATTCTTAGTGCAAAAATGTTATCGAAATCGGGAAACACTTTCACTTGGACCAACGTCCATACGACCACAGCACGTACACCCATCAACGCACAAAAAATAGTCTTATAATGACCACGTACAAACCAACAACACCCATGTTCTTGACTCAACATGAGCAGCATATACTCTGGATGCACACGGTCCCAAAGCGATGAAGTCCTCCCCGCCCGACCTGCCGCTGAGATACAGTCTACATGGGATTCTGTTCTCTGTAGTGCTTCTGCAGTCGGTTGGCCTTGACGCCCAGCCGCATGTCGCTGCGCTGCTGGTGCCTCCTCAGTGCCATCATGTCGCGGGCCGTCCTGTCGCACACACACAGACAGACACACAGACGGGGGTCAGATGGGGTGCGTCAGGCGGCCCGAGGGCGTTGGGGTACGGCAGTGTATGGCCAGCTGAAGTGGAATACTGGGTTCGCGATCATGAATCGCAAATCGGGAGTGGAAAGGCTATAAATAAGCCCAAAGACTTAAGGACGCTGTTACCAACACACAATCAACACACAATTACGGTACATATATCGAATTGCTGTAAAAATGAAAAAACGGTTTGAACACAAAATTGTCTCCACAGACCAAATCCGACCAATTGGACATGACGACCCTCCCCTCCCCATTCCACAGGCTCGGCGTACTGACTTTTTGAGTTGTTCCTTGCTGGACCCGGTCCATCCCATCAGTCTGTACTGGTGCAGCACGTCCCTGGCGGTGGTGGCAGCGCCGGTCTTCCTCAGCGCCACTGCCTTCTCCGGCTTCAGGTGCTGCCTGCGAGGGGATGTGGGGGAGGGGTGTCAGACACCGGGACTGGTACTGACGGCAGCCGGGGATGCACAAATACACGGACCAAACTCGGGATGTGGCATCTGACAATGTTGCGACATCCACCGCAGCCAAGTGGTATGCTTGGCCTGCTCAATATCTGATGCGGAATATTCTTCAAATGAATTGCCTGACCAACCAGCTCTTCGTTGGTGATCCCGTCTTTTATTTCTGTCCCCTCATCATCTGCAGTTTATATCCTACCTTCTCCCATCAGTAGAATCTGTCCAGCGTCCGCTGTCTTACCTGCCGTATCTGACCAGCGCACAGTGTCACATACATAGGTTCTGACCAGCCCGGTATCTTACCTGTAGTATAACACCCGGTGTCTCACTATCATATCTGACCAGCACGCAGTATCTCACCTATAGTATCTGACCAGCGCGCGGTGTCCGACGGTGGCCCCGGACGGTAGCACCAGCTGAAAGCCGTCGGCGTGCATGTTCAGCTGCTCGGGCTCCAACGGCTCCGAGTCAGCGTCGGCGCCGTCCGGGTACGAGGTGCTGTAGTCGTAATAGTCAGCGTACTCGGCCAGGACCTCGCCCTCGTGCAGCATCTTCGTGTGGCCCTTGTCGCGCATGTGTTTCTGCACGGCGTCCACCGAGGTGAAGTGCTTGCCCCGCTCGTTGCACCAGAGACAGACGAAGCCCTCCCCGACCTTCTGCCCGAGGTAGGTGACCAGTCCCTCCATGTCCGTCACAAACTCAGCGTCCGGCACAAAGAATGAGTGCGCCTGTGTCATGTGACGCAGGTTGGCGGCCAGGTCGGAGGAGGCGTGCGGACAGAAGAGGCACGAGGAGGGCGGGATGCCCTCGCCCTCGTCCCACTCTTCCCACTCGTCCGAGTCGACCTCCTCCACCGACAGGTCGTCGTCCGAGTCTGACTCCGAGTCCGGCTCCGGCGGCGGCGCAATGCCTGAGGAGGGACGAGCGGTCGGCGGTCAGTCTCTCGAAGGTGCGGCCAGGAGGTGCACATTGAACATTAACAAATTATTGCTAGAGAAAATACAATACAAAATATCAAAAGGCTTTCAATTTCAGGCATCGTACCTAATTAACTAGTAAGACTCCTTAGTATCCTAACACAAAACAGCATAACGCAGTCACATGCTGGAGGTATGATCCACCAATACACTATCTGACACAAAAAAATTCCGTTAAAAATCGGCGATGCGTCCACCGTACCTTTGCGCTGCGGCCGTCGCGGCGACCAGGACCCTCCCGCTTCCTTCTCCGACTGGCCAGAGAGCTCGAGGTTCTTGCGGT